GGGAAAGAATGGATCTATGATCCATTTGTCAATAACCCAGGTTAATCAACTCTGACCATGCTAGAAGAGGATCAACTGCTTGAGATCATAAATGACACTGGCCTTAGAAGTGTTTCAGACAACTTCAAATCTCCACATGTTCTGGATTAAAGTCAAGGTGAAGTATCCTGAGATTGCCACAAAAGCACTGAAAATAAAAAGCCTGCTTCCATTTCCAACATCCTATCTTTTTTTTTTTTTTTTTTTTTGAGACAGAGTCTCACTCTGTTGCCCGGGCTAGAGTGCTGTGGCATCATCCTAGCTCACAGCAACCTCAAACTCCTGGGGGCTCAAGCAATCCTTTTGCCTCAGCCTCCCGAGTAGCTGGGACTACAGGCATGAGCCACCATGCCCGGCTAATTTTTTTTTTATATACATATTTTTAGTTGTCCGATTAATTTCTTTCTATTTTTAGTAGAGACGGGGTCTCGCTCTTGCTCAGGCTGGTTTCGAACTCCTGAGCTCAAACAATCCACCCGCCTCGGCCTCCCAGAGTGCTAGGATTACAGGCGTGAGCCACCGCGCCTGGCCCAACATCCTATCTTTGTGAAGGCAAGGTTTTCTAGAATGACAGCAACCAAAATGAGATTTGTGGAGTGACTGGACATAAGCAACACACTTTGGGTGTCACTGTCTCCCATCACCCCAAGATCAACCATCTAGTTGCAGGAAAATGAGCTCAGTGTTCCCACTGATTCTGCATTATGGTGAGTTGTGTAATTATTTCATTATATATTACAATGTAATAACAATACAAATAAAGTACACAATAAATGAAATGTACTTCAATCATCCCAAAACCTCTGCGCCCTCCCTCCCCACCATCCGTGGAATAACTGACTTCTATGAAACCAGTCCCTAGTGGCAAGAAGGTTGGGGACTGTTGCTCTATAGGATTTGCAAATTGTATTAACAATGCTAAAAATAGTTTTGTAGACCTCAAGGACAGGGAATAAATCATGTCAGAAATGAAAGGTACAAAGCAACAAACTGAAAAAGAACCCAAGACTTTGTATTTAAAATCAACTGACAAATTCAAATGTCATCACAACAAATGATTTTTACATTTAAGTCTCAACATTGCCGTCCATATTTGATGAGTTATCTTTTTTTTTTTAATTGAGACTAAGTCTTGCTGTGTTGCCCAGGCTAGAGTGCTCACTACAACCTGGAACTGCTGGGCTGAAGCAATCTTTCCATCTCAGCCTCCCAGTAACTGGAACTATAGACGTGCACCACAACTGGCCTGATGAGTTATCTTTTTAAAGAAGACTTGCTTTTGTCAACTCTTTTTTTTTTTAACTGAAAACCTGCAAGATCAGAGTAGATGAAATTTGGAAATGTGGTTTGATATGCGTATGTATAACAAAATATTATGAATCTTGAGTTTAACTTTTACCTTATCCTCTTAACTAATGAATTTCGGAAATACGTTCTGAAAGGATTAGGTATCTGAAATTTCCTTCTCTACTCCTCTTATGTAAAGCAGAGGAGAAAACCAATGTAAAGCAGCAGAGAAAACCAATGTTCTCTCAATAAATGTTTCTTGAATAAGAAAAACTCAATTCAGAAAAACCAACGTGAGAAACAGCATGATAGTGGTGATAGGTGTAGTCTCACAAGCCATTCTTGGGAGGTAGCTGCCATAAATAAACTACTTTGCTCAAGTTTGAATTAATTATTTCTTTCAAATTTAATAATTTATATTATCTTTGAATAACAGGGATATAACAGATTACATGCCAGAATATACTAAGACAGAAATGGGCCTTGATCAATAACTACATGTCAGGGTAACTCTGAAATGAAATGTATGCATATTGTTCTCTGGGTAGATTCTAGACTTCCCTTTTATATTTAGAAAGTAAGACTTCCTGAAGGCCCAAAAGGTCAGTGCTATGGACCAAATTGTATCCCCCCCAAGAATTCACATGTTCAAGCCCTACCATCTATGTGATGGTTTTTGTAGATTGGGCCTTTGGGAGGAAATAAGGTTTATGGGGTCAAAAGGGTAGGGCCCTCACGATTGGATTAGTGCCTCTGTAAAAAGAGACATGAGAGAGTTGGGTCCCCTCTCTTTTTCTCCTCCAGGGGAGGACGTAGTGAGGAGGTGGCCATTTGCAAGCCAGGAAGAAAGTTCTCCCTAAGACCTAACCATGCTGGCACTCTGGTCTTCGACTTTCAGTCTGCAGAACTGTGAGAAAATGAATTGTTGTTGTTTAAGCCACCCAGTCTATGCTATTGTGTTATGGTAACCCAAGCTGATTAAGACAGTAAGTTTATTTCCATTCTTACCATTAAAAAAAGATTGATACAAAATCTCAATACATGAGAATCACTTAAGCCCAGGAGTTTGAGGTTGCAGTGAGCTATGATGATGCCACTGCACTCTAGCCCAGGCAACAGATCCTGTTCTCAAAATAAAAAAGAAAACCAGAATGAAAGAAAAGAAAAAAAATTAGAGGGCAAATAATATTCTGTCAATGTTTTGTTTTAAAAATATATGTATGTATGTTATATAAGTAATTTTGGGTATATGCATATCCTTGCCATTTGGTGATATAAAATATTCTTGACATGAGTCATACCCAAACTTCAAAAGCCACAAATATAGTGGGCTTTATTAGATTTTATTAATTGTTACACCTGGAGATTTAACAAAATAAATCTATTTTCAGAACCTAGGCTGATCTTTAAGACTGGACACCACCTAAGGAGCATTCTGCTTAGCTGGCGGCAGATATTTCTTAAGGTTGAGAGTCATATAATTAATTACAAGATCAATAAACTCTAGCAAAATATATTGCTTTGTTGGTATTTCAATATACACATGTTGGAGACGAGGATGATGAAAGTGAAAGCAGAATAGTGTCTCTACACATACATGACAATCTTTCAGCTACCGGTGGCCCACTGGCTCAGTAACTGTTTATACTCTAAACCACTATAACAGCAAATGTCTATCCACAACACAAATAAAATTAAAGAAGAGGAAATGGAAGAGAATCTTTAAATTAGGTAAACTTTCAGATTTCATTACCAATTTCCCATAAAGCATACTATCCACATCTACAATTCTCAGGCGATTCCAACTGCTATAAGGACCTCAATGAGCAGGTTCTCTAACATATTACTGTATTTTCAGAAAACAGAGAAGAATACACAGAAGTGATGCGTATCTCCAGGCGTTAAGATACAGATGTCTACATAACAGGGCGTGAAAAATCCTTGGGAGAATGGTGCTTTGTGTACCAAAAACAGAAATAGTAAAAACGTATTACTATTGTAACATACATTACCAAAATCAGGGGTTGAAAGAAGGAAGTAGTCTATAGGAGGTTAAGCAATTCTTCACACATACCACTGTTCCTAGATGCACTAGAAATATTTTACCAGTAGGAAATCACCCCACCACCACTGTCTGCATTATTCCAAAATTGAAACCCAATTTTATTCTTTTGCATTACCTATCCTATTCCAAAGTCCAAAAAAAGTACTTGGACCAAAACTTGAGAAATCAACTGCAAAATAGAAGAGAAGGAAATTATATGGGCCTTCCAGTGTACAGGGGGCAAATACTAGATCCAGCCAAAGAATGTCCTGTGCTTCCCTACTAACAACCCATAAAATTTTCTAGGATATAAGAAAAATGATCTAGTATCTAAACTTGTAATCTAGTTGAAGGACTATATAACATATAAACTAGTTGTTACTCTTCTTCTCAAAACCCTCTGGTATTACCCATTTTATTCAAAATAAAATCCAAACTCTCAGCAATACTTATGGGGCTCTCTATGACTTGGACCTACATCTATAACTTAATTTCCTGTCACTTTCTGTGTCACCTACTCTGCAATGGCCAAAAACTGCACGAAAAATGCAGAACATCACTACTTTTCACAAAAATACAATTTAAAATCAGTGATTTGTTTACATTTATCTTTCTCACTACACTGCGAGCTCAACAGCAGGCCATCTTATTATTCTTGTCTATATCTCTAGTGTCTTACACAGTCCCCAGCCCCTTATAACAGGTACTCAATAAATATTTGTCAAAAAGAAAAAAAAAAGAAAGAAGAAAATAAAAGGATTGACAATGTCAGGTTTAGTGGAGGATGCTGAAACAATAGCAAATCTCACATTTTTGGTGGGAATGTAAATTTGTAAAACCATCTTGGAAAAGTGTTTGGCAACAGCTACTAAATCTAAACATGTTTATACCTGATGGTGCAGCAATTTCACCCCTGGATATAAACTCCAAAGAAATTAGTACTTATATTCATCAAAGGACATAAACAAGAATGTATACAACGGTTTTATTCATTATAGCACCAAACTGGAAACAACCTTCTACCCAGAGTAGAATGGATTAATAAACTGTGGTTCTATACAGACAACATAACACTTCAAAGCAATACAAAAGAATGCTATATGCAACACAGGTGAATATCATAAACATAATATTGAGAGAAAGAACCCAGACACAGAAGTATATACAAGATAATTCCATTTATATAGAGCTCAAAAACAAGCAAAAACAATCTATGGTGAAAGAAGTAGAATAGTGATTACCTTTATTTGTTGGTTGGTTTGTTCTGAACTAGAGGAATTAAATGGGAAGGAGCATGAGGGGGACTTCGAGGTGTTGAAAGTGTTCTATATCTTGATCTAGGTGGTTGTTACATAAGTGTATAGACATGTATAAATTCATAGAGTTGTACATTTAAGATTGGTGTACTTTACAGTAAAGTTATATAAAAACTTTATATTTTGAAAAGATATATACACTTAAAATATATATATACAATGTACATTAAGTTATAACTGAATACACCGCACCTACTCCTCTGGGAACTCTTTGGCTCTGTCGGGCCTTCATTTACTTTATTGTGTTTTTTATTGATTCAAAGAAAACGGAAGTGGGGACTAAGCAGGTAATTTATGCTCAAGTAATTGCTTACCTTTAACAAAGGGCAGCTGCAAAGGTTGGGATAGGAGAGTGGAAAATTAACCCCAAGAAGGAAATCCTTGTTTCTCAGATATCTCTGCTGGCTCTCCCCTTTTGGCTCTCCCCACGAGCGCAGCTGATGGAGCCTGTAGGAGGCTTTCAGAGACAGGAAAAGAGCTAACCATCTGAAACAAACCATAGCAGACATGCTTATTCAGTGCTCCATGGAGGTTTGAGGGTCATTCACAGCAGCGAGGAACCATCCAAGGGTTGTCTCTGATTAACATAACTTATTTGTAAATCTTAGTCACTTTAGAAACAGTCTTTCCTACTTTCAGATAAAGCTGATTTATACTTTTATTATGTAAATTCTTTGGCATGACATGATTTGTTACTATGAAAACTAAAATCCTCCAAAAAGCTCCTCTCAGTATTAAAGAATATGCATCCTAACCACAAAAAAATCCGTATTATAAAAACATCTTCATATTAAGAAGAGAGCCATTCCCAATGACATAAATACAAAGTAATAAATCGGTGAAATCCATTATGCCAAAGAATAAGAACACAGAACTAAATTTCCCAGAACACTTAAGGAAAGCTATGCTGCCATTATCACTAACTAAATAAATCACCAGTCACTGTTTGCACTATGGGAGCAAGGAAAACGTAAGAGACTAACTAGAAATGAGATTTGAAAATCTTCTAGTAGCATATGGAAGAAAAGTCTAAATAGTTTTATGGTATATCATGAAGAATCAAGTAATTATTAAATGATCAAAAGAAAATTACAATTCCCTTATAAATAACAAATTTTATTCTTTTTTTTCTCAGCTCTACCTATGACTGAGCATTATTCGTAACAATAGAAAAAGAATGAGAGGCTCTCTAAGATGATAAAATATTCCACAATATTCAGTCTTTGTCCTAGTTTATTCCCAACTGCTCTCTTATCAAACAATAAGCAAACTTCTTACCTGGCCAAAAGTCCCTGAAGCATGAGGTTTGCCATTTCTGCTGGAGATACGTCAATAAATCGAAGGAAAGAGAAACAGCTTTCTTCATTAATCCCTGGAATATCAAAGGAAAATTTTAAACCCAATAGCAAACCAAGAAATTATACTCAACTAAAACCTACTGAACTGCTGAATTTTGACTTAAGAATCTGATCTAGCTACTTTGATGGAAGTTAAGAGTATCATATCTTTGTACTGTAATCACAGGTATAAGAGGCAAGTCTACGAGATACAGCACATGGACCAGACTGGAAGAAGGCTCATCAGTTACCTTTGGGATTTTGGGAACCTTAGCTAAATGCCTTTTCTTTTTATCAAGCTAGGAAAAACAAAAGGACAGGTCATGGCTGAGCGAGGTGGCTCATGCACACCTACAATCCTAGCACTCTGAGAGGCCAAGGCTGGAGGATTGCTTGATGTCAAGAATCTGAGACCAGCCTAAGCAAAAGTGAGACCCCATCTCTACTAAAAATAGAAAAAATTAGCCAGGCGTGGTGGCGCATGACTGTAGTCCCAGCTAGTTCGGAGGCTGAGGCAGGAAGATTGCTTGAGCCCAGGAGTTTGAGGCTGCAGTGAGCTGTAATGATGCCACTGCACTCCAGCCTGGGCAACAGACCCTGTCTCAAAAGTCTAGCATTGACTTTGGCAGAAATTCTTAAATAAAGATGGAAGGTCAGCATAACCATTTTCCATTGCTTCCTGTTATAGCCACAAATCAATACAGCCTATACAGATAAACATGACTAATTTACTTAATTAAACCTTATCAATATTTTATAAAGGCCCAGTATATAGGCAAACTGCTACTACTTCCAAAGCAGTCACTCACCCAAACAAAAAGCACCCTGGTAAAATCTTGACACACCTTCCTTCTCAAAGATCAAAATACCTACCTTTTCTGTGAAAGAGAGACTGTTGGATGTGGTCTGGTGCAAATGGAGAAAGAAGAACTCTTAACCACCTGTGAAGTAAGTAAAATAAATCCAAATCCAAATATAAATAATGGGAAGTTAATTAGATTGGAGGTTCGAAATTAAGGACAATCTTTTCATTTTGAAAATGTTTCTACTTTTAATAAGTTTCTTGCAATATTATCAGGCAAAAATCATGGCATAAATGTCAAGAAGTACAAATTACTTAATGAAAGTGTTAAGAAGATAATACAAGTTCAAAGTAGTCTCATTTTATTTCAGAGAATCATAATTCTAGCACTGTAAGTTATCACATACTTTACTAAACAAAAAGTACTATAGCTCTGGCCTTTTATCCCTGCTCACCCACTTCAATATTACCCTGAAGCTATCACAGAGAACTCACAAAGTAAAATCCAAGAAATGTGTTTCAGTTTCATTAAGCTAAACATTGTTGACAATTATTTTTATAATACAGTTTATACTGTTTCTCTGCAGAAGGAGATTTCTAAAACTATGGTTCTCAAATATTAGTGTGTAGAAAAATCCTCTGGGAGCTTATTATAAAATGCAGAAGCCAGGGACATCCTAATTCAGAGGTGTAGAATGGACCACACACCTGTTTTCTGAGTGAAAGTAGTCTCTAGCATATTAGCTAGGGCCTTTAAGGTCATCTGAGATCACTCAATAATAATTGCCCACTCTATGCTTAAATGCCTCATTGTTGGGAAATTCATACTCTCTACTAAGCCATAAAACCCCAAATTACAAAAACACTCAGGTTTGGCTGGGCACAGTGACTCACACCTGTAATCCTAGCACACTGGGAGGCTGAGGCGAGAGGATCACTTGAGCTCAGGAGTTCAAGACCAGCCTGAGCAAGAGCGAGATCCTGTCTCTACTAAAGATAGAAAAAAAAAATTAGCCAGTCAACTAAAAATAGAAACCAAAAATTAGCTGGGTGTGGTGGCTCACTTCTGTAGTCCCGGCTACTTGGGAGGCTGAGGCAGGAGGATCACTTGAGCCCAGGAGTTGGAGGTTGCTGTGAGTTAGTTTGATGCCACAGCACTCACTCTAGCCCGACCAACAAAGCCAGACTCTGTCTCAAAAAAATAAAAAAATAAAAAACAAAAAAACATTCAGGTTAAACAGATATTATGACTTGCTTACCTGTCTCGTGAATGATTGAAGACCCTGATCTGTCCATGACGGTAGATAAACTTTGAAATCTGGTATGGCTTTAGGGAAATATGAAATGGAGACCAAGTTTCTTGCCGTTCGAATAACTCTGGGTGATTACACACCTAGGAGGAAGGGAAATAGTAAGACAACATTTTCATGTATAGATATTACTCTATGAAACAACGGGGGATCCCAAATGCCAAATGTTTACCTTTGAGAATGTATACTTTCCCATTTTCCACTCTATGGGCTTTATTTGGCATCAAGGCTAAAGCCTTTTTCTTGAAGTGGGTTAATAAAGACAACTTCAAGGCAGCTGACTTAAGCTCTTACCTTCCTAAACTGCATGACCAGATTCATGAGGCTGCTGGTGGTGTTCTGTGCTTGTTGGGTAGAGCCCATAGAAGACTGCAATAAATCCTCAATAGAAATTTTGTTCTTTAGTGCTTGATATAACAGTTTCTGTCGGCTGGTCAGTTGGCAATACATTAGAATCTCAATCTAAAAATCAGTAAGAACACTTATACTTGGAAAAATAGTCTGTAAGAAAATTCAGTATCATCTTAAAGTTGAAAACACACACCAACCAGATTATGATTGAGTAAATAAGACACATACATGAACTATCTCTATAAACCTGTGATGTGGATCATCACCCAGAAAAAATGTTCTTTCCTTGGCATTCTCTTGTCACTCACTCTACATGCTCTCCCCGGGGAATGTATTCCATTTCCAATAGCACCAACTATCACCCATACAGTCACTTGCAAAAATATATTCCCAAGCATCCCCAGACTCATATTTTCAACTAATAATTATGAGAGTACCACTCAGTCTGCAGCAATTGCATATGTGACATATCAGGGAAAAAATTATCTTTTCCACTATTTACACCATTTACTAAATTAGTTAATAGCTTTATCATCCATTCAGTTGACCAAAGACAAACTTAATTCCACTCTGATTTCCCTGTCTCTCACACACCTCATGTTCTATCATTTCCTAAGTCCTTTAATGCAGCCTGGAAATTTATCAATATTCACCCATTCTAACCATTCCATTGCCCTGCTATAGGCCCTCATCTGATATAGTCTAGACTGCTAATATTTTTAGGTCTTCCTGCCTCCAGTCTCTCCTGGTTCTAGTATAAGTAATACTTCCACATAAATCTTATAAAGTAATTCAAGTGCTAAAAAATCTTCAATGTGCATTTTTGCCTATAACAAAATATTGAAACTTCTCACTAAGGCACAGAAGGCCTCCCATAATCTAACCCACCCTGTTATCTGTTTTATTACCACCTTAGCCACCATGGTCTGAATAATGTTTGCCAAAACATGCTACATATTTTAATATTACTCTACCTTTGCTCATGCCACCCTGTGCCTAGCACCCTGTTCCCACCATATTTTCCTAGTAAATGCCAACTCATCATTCAAGACCTAGCTCACATGTCATCTCTGCTTTATTGTCTTCTCTAACCTTCAATAATTATAATGAGATTAGAAACATTAAATGATGTTAAGAAATGTAAACCATGTACACCGGTTAAGAACAACCATACTACATATTCTGATCACCTATTTACCACTAAACAGGAAAAATTATGACACTGTTATCATTTATAAGCCCTTTCTAATATAAATGCTTCAAGGATTCACTTTTTTAATAAGGTATTTGCCTCCTATGACATTGCTACTATAGTTCTCGGCTAAAATCAGCCAGTTTGACAAAATAGCTGTCAAAATTTTTAGAAAAGGGAATAAAACGTAGGTACAGTTCTTGTCCTGTCTTAAGAGGGTATATATACAATGCCTGACTTAGAGATTTTCTGACACTATGATGGGTTTATCCACAGGTAGGTCAAGGAACTCCTGATAACTTAGGATGGGATTAGAGTTTCTACTGAATAAGTATGGATTCTGCATAATTGTAAAGTCTAAAAAACTTAAGTCATAGTAAATCGTAGTAATCACAGAAAATCAAAGTAAGCTGGGGACCATCTGCTGTGTTTCCAGCATTAAATATTAATATATTTTCAACTTAACCATATTTTCAACTTACAATGAATGGGGTTTATTGGGACACAGTCTCATTGCAAGTCAAGAACCATCTGTACATCCCTACCACAACCTTCCAGAGTCACTAATTTCAAAATGATCAACCTTTCTGGCAGGGATAGGGGAGAACCTGGGAAATTATCAAGATATTATCAAGAACCTGGAAAGATGCATTTTAGGAAGAGAGTAGAATCATGAGGAATAGGTGGAATCTATGCAAGATGGGGAAAACCCCCAAACAACTGGAAATTGGAGAAAAAAGAAGGGAGAAGAATATGGGAAGGATTCACAAAAGATAACAGAAAATTACAGAAGTCTGGTAAGGATCCTGGCTCCACCCTATTTTACTAGCCAATAAAAAATTACTGGCTTTGCAGTAGAAAAAATGCTACAACCCAAAGCACATTAAACTTCTACATCTAACTCTAAGTTTGCAGAAATACAGGAGACAGAGTAACATGTTAGGCAATACCATGATGACGCATTTAGCAAAATCCAGCATGTGGGAAACTCTACAGGACAAAACACTCTGTTTCTTCAACAAAGAATTACAAGGTGGAAAAAAGAATGAAGGGATTGAAAGATACTTAGGAGATATATCACCCAAATGCTATGTGTGGACCTTGTTTATATCTTGATTTCAACAAACTAATTCTTTTTTTTTTTTTTTTTTGAGACAGAGTCTCACTCTGTTGCCCTGGCTAGAGTGAGTGCTGTGGCATCAGCAAGCTCAAACTCCTGGGCTCAAGCGATCCTCCTGCCTCAGCCTCCCAAGTAACTGGGACTACAGGCATGCGCCACCATGCCTGGCTAATTTTTTCTATATATTTTTAGTTGTCCAACCAATTTCTTTCTATTTTTAGTAGAGGTGGGGTCTCGCTCTTGCTCAGGCTGGTCTCCAACTCCTGAGCTCAAATGATCTGCCCACCTCGGCCTCCCAGAGAGCTGGGATTATAGGCGTGAGCCACTGCACCGGGCCCAGGAACACTTTTTTTAAATCAATAATAGGGATCTTATATAAGTCTGATGAAAACTATCTGGGACTCTTAGTATTCCCTAAAAATTATCTTTCAAGGAATGTCAGCAAATTAACAACTTACAGTATACAATCACTTAAGGACTTTTATAACGGTTAGTAGATGTCACCTCATGTCTATGCAATAAACACCCCAGATGCTCTTAAAATCAGGCAGGTATTATTCAATAAAGTAAAAAGCACTGATAAACAAGGCTAAATATAATCTAAGCATTTGTGATAATTATTCAGGCTGTAAAGACAGGATTGCTGCTCCCCTGCAATTCAAAATGTAATGGATAAACAGATGAATAAAAGCACTGGAAGGTTTGTGGAATACTAATCGGAAGAAAAACTGAAGGAGAATTTCTATATCCTTAGTGTTATTAAATCTCACCTTTAAAATTAAAAAAAAAAGGCTAAAAATGTTCAAATTGAAACAAATCCTAATATATGTAGAAAATAACAAAAATTACCCTTATAATATTTTCTGGTTTTACCACAGGAAAAAAAAGCCTTGACCCATTACACAAAGCATATAATTCTAATGTGAATTTTTCAAGATATATGTGGATAATGGGGAGTCAGCAAGCCAAAATGTAGTACTTTATAAACGAAACCTATTCAGCCTTCATTAGTCAAGACTACAGTAGCCAACACCTATATTAGTCCTTTTTTTTTTTTTTGACTCTGTTAAACATATACAAAGAACATAATTATTTTATAAGAGAAAAAACTTCTTTTGCCCTAATTCTTCTATGTATACTTCAGGAAAAATTCTTCACAAAGAAGAAAATATATAATTATGTGGTTGCCTACACCAATAGGTAGAAAGAAAGCAAGCTCATAATGGTACTCACTCTCATCAATGGCAGATTTGTTTTCGGCATGGCTCTCAATGTCCTTGGAAAACCATTCATTAAATTCCTCGTGTGAATCAAATAATGTTGGCATAATGAAATGCAGCAGAGCCCAAAGCTGGAAACAAAGAAAAAATGAAATAGCTGTAAGGCAGTAAAATGACAGTTTGTAAGGATATATTAGGAAAGAAAAAGTGAGATAAAGTTGAAGGTGCCTACGTATGTATGTGTCTAGACACAGGTGTAAGTGTGAGAGAGACAAAGTGAATTGAGTACAAGCACATGCCTCATCAAGCAACCTTAATTCTATCAATGCTGTGATTATTTTTCAACTAATTTCAAGTTAAAAGTTTGAAAGTGGGCCGGGCGCGGTGGCTCACGCCTATAATCCTAGCACTCTGGGAGGCCGAGGCGGGGGGATCGTTCTAAGCTCAGGAGTTCGAGACCAGCCTGAGCAAGAGCGAGACCCCGTCTCTACCAAAAAACGGAAAGAAATTAATTGGATAGCTAAAAATATATGTAGAAAAAATTAGCCGGGCATGGTGGCGTGTGCCTGTGGTCCCAGCTACTCGGGAGGCTGAGACAGTAGGATTGCTTGAGCCCAGGAGTTTGAGGTTGCTGTGAGCTACGTTGACGCCACGGCACTCACTCTAGCCAGGGCAACAGAGTGAGACTCTGTCTCAAAAAAAAAAAAAGTTTGAAAGTGCAAGTCCTGCTCAGATTTTATAGTGGGATAGTTTAAAAGATCTTATTTTTAAAATCCATTCCACATCTGAACACAGTCGGAGGTAGCATAACTTGTTACCAATAACTCTATACCAAGGGTCAGAAAATTGTGGCCTGTGAGGTCAAGTCTGGTCTGCCACCTATTTTTGTAAATAAAGTTTTATTAAAACATAGCCATGCTTATTCATTTATGTGTCATCTATGGCTTCTTTCACATTACATAGGCAAAGTTGAATAGTTCCAACAGTGACTGTATGGCCTACAAACTCTAGAATATTTACTATCTGGTGCTTTAAAGAAAGCATTCTGATCCTTATTCTAGATGATTGTTTCCTAAAGAAAGAATTTTATTATAGCTTGTCTCGCTGTTAAATAATATTACTTTTTAACTCTAGCATAAAAACATCTCTGCATTAGATGAATAACATTTCCTGATGAGGTCACTATTTATTACGTAAAGGGATAAAATAATTCATTGGCCTTATGCCAGAAAATAAGAAAATAGGAATGATGCCTAAAATATGACTTAGGGCAAGCTATAGTCAAATTCTTCCTTTTACATGGAGACTATAATTTATATAGAGCAGTAGCACTCCAGGGGGACATGGGTAGAGAATTCTATGCTTTGCTGGAACCATTCTGTTTTATGAAGACATAAACCTGGTACCTAGACTAGTGCCTACCTCTGCCATGGTGTTCTGAATGGGGGTCCCAGTTAGCAGAAGCCGATTCCGACACTGGAACTGTAAAAGGATCTTCCAACGAACACTGTTTAATAAAATAAGTTACAAATTCCATGTTAGCAATAAATTTTCCTTTAATTATTCTATTGACCCCAGATTTCTAAAAATGTTTTCCAAAAAAGTAACACTCAGAATCTAGTACTCCATCATGTACACAACTGAAAAAGATTATTCAACAAAGCCGAGAATAGGAAATCTCAGGGGAACTCACTCTTCTATACCAAAAACATGATATTAGGGCTTAGAAAAAATAGCCCTCGAATAAGCAGAGCAGGATCATTTTTGGCTTCATAAACTCTTCTGTTATCTTTGGTCAGTTTTGTTGACACAAGTCATTTAATTAGAAGTTACTTATTTGCAGTATTTATACTACAGTAAAATTATTAATCTGTGCACTTCCAGTATGAATGTGAAGGAAGCAATGGAGGAAGAGGGGATATGAGAAGAAAATATAAAATTAGTCTCTTCATTGCTCCTGGCCACAGGCATATCCTCCTTCGAAAGAGGAGTGCAATATGAAATAATGCCATTTAGAGGATGGAAAGTTCCATGGAAAATACCATCCAGCCACTTAACACAGACCTCTAAGAAAGTTCTTTGGCCTCACCAAGAGTTAGTAAAAATGCATCAAACCTGAGGTTTAACACCACCGAGTCACATTTTATATTCAGTTTGGGATGTCAAAGGTATTGAAATCCTTTAAACACATAACTTAAGATAAAAGGATTCTTGGAGGTCTAATAACCTTCCAGGGACAGAGACAATCTGCATAAAGAACCTAGAAATCACATAATGTAACATTTTACTTCCTACATAGCGCTCCCATTTAAAATAACCTCTTAAAGAAAGGGAAGAGACCCCTTCCTATATAGAAATTTTCGTTGAAGAAAAACAATCTGTTAAAATGTCATATTAATAATTATTGATTAGGGAGATAAAAGTTTATATAAAGTTTTGTATTCTATGCATTAATATTTGTGTCCCATGAAAAAATATAAAAGGGAATTTCTGCTTTCTGTTCAGTTACATGGCTGATGCAGAGACCATGTCACACTATGTTCTTTGATCTCATTCATTCATATATAGGAATGATCTGATCCACTGAATTTGATTTTTACTGTTCACATTACCTGGAACTACTCTTCAGCGCCTGAGCCTCATCCAGTACCATGTATTGCCACTTGACCCGCTGGAAATACTTTACATCCTGCACCACCAGCTGGTAGCTAGTGATAACCACATGGAAGGGGGCATCCTGAGTGTAGAGCGTCTTCTGTAAATATAAGAGGGGAAAGGTGAAAAGGGATACCTAACAATTCATAATAGGGTAATGAAGTATGGACTATATTTTCTAGGGCCAGGATATTTAAGCTAACCCTGAAAATGTGCTCCTCCTATGTGGTAGGGAGATGTGCAATGAAGTGAACCGTAACTGTTTTTAAAACAGTCACCTGTAACACAAACTATACTAAAAACTTGTCTTTCAACTTATTAAAGAAAAAAGTAATTACTTAATCTTGAACTTCAAGTCCAACTGACTGCCTATAACAGGAAAAGTATATTATCAGAAAAAATGGACACTTACTTGCTCAGTATCCAGAAATATATAATACATAAGACTTTGTCCACAAGAAATTATTCAAATCAACTGGAGAAATAATGACTGCATGTATGTACATTTACAGTAAGCAGAAAGTTACCTGACTCCAAAACCTCCTGATGACTTTTCTATCATGAGGATTTCCCCAATATGGTAGCACCTGGAAAAAGGGCCAACATACACATTATTTTCTATCAGTAATCTTAAGATTATCATCACAAATATGTCAGTTATTTAGAATGATTTAAAATAGAATGATTTAATAGAATGAGTATAGGAGTTCCTCTGCTGTCAATGGGGGACTAGGTGGTTTAACCAATCATCCTGTAGACCAAACAGAAACACACACATGATACATTTGTTTGAAGGCATCAGAGAACTACTAGGCAGTAGAGAATTCTGAAGCCAAGAACCAGAAAAAAAGGAACCCCAGACAGGTAAGCCTACTATGTGGTATATTTTCCCATAATTATCTCTAAAATTTTTCCTATACAATGTCTAGCATATAATTTAAAAAAAACCCAGACATATGGAAGACCACATCACAAGACTGAAAACCAACATGAAAGACAGATAACAGAAAAAAAACCCAGAGGAGATCCACACAATGAAGATATAAAAAACAGACTTTTAAAAAAATGCTAATTTAATTTGTTCATAGACAAGATTGAGAACATCAGTGGTGTATTATAAAAGAACCAAAGGGAATTTTTAGAACTGAAAAATACAGTAAGTAAAATTAAAAATTCAATAGATGGGTTTAATGACAGATTAGATGTAGCTGAAGAGGAAATTAGTGAATTAGATGACAGGACAGAAGAAAATATCCAGAATAAAGCACTGGAGAAACAGAAGAATGCAAAATTCAGCACTTTTAGCCAGATGGAAGCATAAATATGCAGGAAGAAATGAAGATCAATATAAAAAATCAATAGTATGTACGTCTAGAGGAAAGGGATGTAGTTTAAGTATACTGAGGCCCTTGTACTATCTAGGAAATATTAGCAGTATTAATTTATATTACTTTTTTAAAAGTTAAGAATATTATTGTGTTCTCCAGGTTATCTACTACAGAATAAAATGAATATATACCTAGTGCTACGGTTTGGATGTATCCCCTCAAAGTTCACGTGTTGGAAACTTAATACCCAAAGTAACAATGTTGAGAGGTATGACCTTTAAGAGGTGCCCTCATGAATGGATAAATGTCATTATCACAGGAATGCGTTACTACTAAAAGGATGAGGTTAGCCCCTCCTTCCCCCGCCACACATGGACCACCCTACCCCTCCTTGTACTCTCTTGCTCTTCCACACCTTTCCACATGGGACGACGTAGCAAGATGGCCCTCATGAGATTAGAGCCCCTAAACCTCGGACTTCCCACTCTCTGGAACTGTACAAAATAAATCTCCTTTTTTAATAAATCACCAATCTCAGGTATTCTGTTATAGCAGCACAAAAAAAGACCAGCACAACTAGCAAGCTAAGTGAGGGAGGAAAAGTAATAAAATTTAACCAATCCAACAGGACATAAGAAAAGAGAAGAAAAATTGAAGAGGTGAAACAAGTAAAAAACAATCAGCAAGGCAGTAGATTTAAACTCAAAATATCAATAACTACATTAAGAGCAGAGCTGGGGGTTGGGCGCGGTGGCTCACGCCTGTAATCCTAGCACTCTGGGAGGCCAAGGCGGGGGGATCGCTCAAGGTCAGGAATTCAAGACCAGCCTGAGCAAGAGCGAGACCCTGTCTCTACTAAAAACAGAAAGAAATTATCTGGACAACTAAAAATACATATATAGAAAAAAAAATTAGCCGGGCATGGTGGCGCATGCCTGTAGTCCCAGCTACTCGGGAGGCTGAGGCAGGAGGATTGCTTGAGCCCAGGAGTTTGAGGTTGCTGTGAGCTAGGCTAACGCCACAGCACTCACTCTAGCCAGGGCAACAGAGCCAGACTCTGCCTCAAAAAAAAAAAAAAAAAAAGAGCAGAGCTGGGCATGGTAGCTCATGCCTGTAATCCTAGCACTTTGGGAGGCTGAGGTGGGAGGAACCCTTGAGTCCAGGAGTTTGAGAAGAGCCTGAGCAACACAGCAAGACCCTGTCTCTATAAAAAATAAAGAAATTAGCCAAGCATGGTGATGCTTGCTGTAGTCCTAGCTCCTTGGAAGCCTGAGGCAGGAGAATCACTTCAGCCCAGGAGTTTGAAGCTGCAGTGAGCTATGATGATACCACTATACTCTAGCCCAGACAACAGACGAAGACCCTGTCTCAGGGAAAAAAAAAAAAAAAGGAAAAATATTCCAAACAAAAGACATGAAACACACTTTAAATGTAGAAAACAGAAAAAAAGAGAAACGAACAAATCTATAATCACGGTAAATTTTAACATACCTCTCTTAGAGAAAGAACAAAAAAAAAATCACTAAAGCTACAGAAGAGCTGAACAAGTTAACAAACTTGACCTAATCACACATAATACTGTGCTCAATAACTGCAGAATACCTATAATTTTCAAACACACAAGGAACATATAAAAACGGACTATATGCTATGCCATAAAAACAAGATTCAACAAATTTCAAAGCATTAAAATAAAAAAAAACCTATGTTCTCTTACCAGAATGGATTTCAGTTATAAATTAATAATAAAAAAAGGTACCTGGAAAATCCTCTGTTATTTGAAAATTAAGAACTATACTTTTAAATAAACCATGAATCAAAGAAAAACTTGCAATGGAAATCAGAGATTATTTTGAACTGAAAGATAATGAATATGTGACACATCAAAACTGTGGAAGGCTAATGTCACAGAAAGCAATTAATTCCTTTAAATGCACATATTTTAAAAGCTGAAATCGGCCGGGAGTGGTGGCTCACGCCTGTAATCCTAGCACTCTGGGAGGCCAAGGCAGGCGGATTGTTTGAGCTCAGAAGTTTGAGACCAGCCTGAGGAAGAG